AGCCGAGGCCTGGTGAGGTGGTGTGGGCTCCGTGCCCCCCTGCAGGGAGAACCTGTCACAGAGTGCCAACAGGACAGACACGAGGCAGAAGATGCCCTAATCCAGCTAGAGCTGCAGGTGTTCGAGACCCAGGAGGAGGCCGGCTCCTCGCTGACCCAAGTCCAGACTCCTCAGAACAAACCGAACCAAACCAAACGCCTTGCTGGGAGTCAGCGCTGACTCAGCGCCCCCTGAGGGTCCGCGACGCTAACTGTGTGCGGGAGCAGAAGCCCACCCTTTCTTCCAGGGAGCTGCTGGTGGTTTGGAACTGCGGACCTTGCTGAAGTCAGGGAATCAAAGGACACATTGCTGGGGCCAGTCTGCTGCACAAGACCCCTTTAAAGTGCTGGGAAGCAAGCAGGCTGCTCTGGGGACTTGGGGGAGCTCGGGCCAGACCACGGTATTGCCCATTGCTCCCTGCATGTGAACGCGGACCTGGAAGGAGGACAAAGGGGAACGGATTCGTTTGGACTGTGGTGCTTTTGGAAGACCGTTGGCAGTCCCACAAACTGCCCAAAGGACAGACGCCCTGTCTTGTACGAAGCACAGCCAGCCAGCGTGCTCCTTAGAGACCAGGGTGGTGAGGTGTCACCTCGCTTCCTTCGGACATGTCAGGAGAGACCAGCCCCCAGGCTGGACGTCACACTTAGCTGAGGGGTGGCACAGGGGAGGGAGGCAGCACTGTGTCTGTGGGCACGGAGCCCCGGGGGTGCTGTGGTGAAGCACTCCACTGCAGCCCAAGTGGTTTGCTGTTCCACTCCACCCAGGGGCCCCTGGGGAGAAAAGGCCTGGTGGTCTGTCCCCATGAGACGACACCCCGGTGGGCAGTTCTAGTCTGGCACATGGGGCCCCATGGACTCAGAGGCGCCCAGTGACAACAACTGCAAGGAGAGGGACAGCGGGTTTGCCAGCCAGTAGGGGTGTGGGTTATTCAGACAGGGGGAGGGGCAGCCCTGTGGATCCTAGCTGGGGGCGACAAGGAGCCCCTGAAATGCCCTTGGCCCTGAGCTGCCCAGCATATTCCCCGAGGCCACCGTCACAGCACCTGGTGGAATTCCTGGCTATACAGGTAAGTCTCTACAGGGCTTCAAAGTAGCCTGGGCCAGGTTAGTCGTAGCTGACAAGGCACAGTTGGAACAGACTGGAATTTACAAACTGGGTGTTTCCGGGATTGATAGTGTGAATGGGAAAGCATACGGATTGAAATCCTGGAATGGGAGACTGGGCAGAGGCACAGAGAGCCCATTCAGGAGCCTGACACACCAGGGCGGGTGGTCGCCAGGATTGTTGGGAGCTGCGTGCTCTTGCACTGCCGTCTCTGAACCCGGCACTGCTGTTCGCCGCTCTGCCGTTCAAGAGGCCTGGTTGCTAAGCAGTGCGCATGCTGCCCTGGTCTGCCAGGAGGGGGATGGTGTTGCCAGCAGGCCCGGTCTGTAGTTCTTCCATTCTGGTTTCCAGCTCGGCGCCTTAACTGAGCGAGTCGG